CTCCTGTAGGACGGGTTCTTGTTTTTATTTTCCTGTAGGACGGGTTCTTGTTTTTATTCTCCTGTAGACGGGTTCTTGTTTTTATTCTCTTGTAGGACGGGTTCACTTTTTTATTCTCCTGTAGGACGGGTTCACTTTTTTATTCTCCTGTAGGAAGGGTTCTTGTTTTTATTCTCCTGTAGGAAGGGTTCTTGTTTTTATTCTCCTGTAGGACGGGTTCTTGTTTTTATTCTCCTGTAAGACGGGTTCTTGTTTTTATTTTCCTGTAGGACGGGTTCTTGTTTTTTTTCTCCTTTAGGACGGGTTATTGTGTTTTATTCTCCTGTAGGACGGGATCTCTTTTTTATTCTCCTGTAGGAAGGGTTCTTGTTTTCATTCTCCTGTAGGAAGGGTTCTTGTTTTTATTCTCCTGTAGGAAGGGTTCTTGTTTTTATTCTCCTGTAGGAAGGGTTCTTGTTTTTATTCTCCTGTAATGAGGGTTCTTGTTTTTATTCTCTTGTAGGACGGGTTCTTGTTTGTATTCTCCTGTAGGAAGGGTTCTTGTTTTTGTTCTCCTATAGGAAGGGTTCTCTTGTTTATTCTCTTGTAGGACGGGTTTTCAATCAATTCTCCCATAATAGGACATCTCCCCTCTTCACAGCTTTTTACGTTTTGATTTTTTTCTGAAATAATACGTCCTTAATACGTCCTCGATCGGGATTCTATTTCTAGACGAATAGACGAATACTAATGAAGGACAACAAGACGAATATTTACAAACATTTTAGAACTTTAACAAGACAAACTTTGACAAGGCTGAAGAATCATCTTTCCTTGCCAGAGTTTAAAGTAAAATTCAAGGTTTAGAATTTTCTTGTAATTCATGAGAAAAATACAGCTTGGTGCAGAGTTAACGAAACCTTGCCAAACGTCATTCTGGTTCGGAATTCCTCTCCGTCAAATACTCTTCTTTTAGGGTTTTGACTCTTCATGTTTTTATTCTGACTTGTAGGTTCGGATTCAGGATCTATAGATTATTATGATAATTGAATAAATGGTATTCCTAAGTAGTATATATAAAAGTTCAGAGAAGACGGGTTGAATGAGATGCTGATTGCAGATTCTCCACGTACGTATATAGGTATATCAGCATTCATCATCAAGCCTAGATTATTTAATATAAACCCATCCCATGTCCATCCTAAACCCATCCTACTACCAGGATATCAGGATCCCGGGTATTTAATGTAAAGCTCAAGCAGTAAGGAGGGATAATGTATGTAAAATATAAGGGATAATGCGATCTATACATTCTAATCATTACTCCTTCTCCTCTTCACATCCTCTCCTTCTTCCATCCCCTGGTCCCTCCATCATCTCCTCACCCCTATTCTCTTCTCCTCCCACCCTCTCTGTTTCCCATAACCTCCTCCTCATCTCGTCCTCCCCTACTCTCAATATCCCAACCTCCTCCTCCTCTCTCCTCCTTCCAACCTCTCCTTCTCCCAACCTCTATGCCTCCTATATATCGTCTTCTCCTTTATCTGTCTTTTATTCCAATTTGTTCCAAAAACGTAAAAGTGATTTAAAGTGAATTTTTAAAAAGCAAGGATCGCATATTAAAACGATATTAAGTAAAGTGTGTAGTGGCGAATAGATTTATTTCCATTGTTCCATTGGATCAAAGCCCAACTTCCTGACCAACCCTCTGTTTTCTCTGTCGTTCTTGACCTTTTAATGTTGTCATTTATCCTTTAAATTCATTTCTTCATGACAACGATTTATTAACTGCTGTATCCTGGATAGACCGATGCATGAGACAAGATGTTGCTGATTGAAAAGATCATGACCAAGTTTATGATGTTTCTACGTTTCTAATTTGTATAATAAATTGGTTAGTGAAGCACGCTTGGAATAAAAATGTGGGCTTGGTCTGAAACCTCTCCTCAGACAAACTATACTATGCGGAAGGAGAAGGACGAGGGTAAGAAAGAGGGAGAAGAGTGTATGAGGAGACCACTCCTACAACTATAATGAAAATAAATCTGAAGAAATATTTCATTGTTCGTCCAACCCCTTACCTTGCATATTCTGAAGGTGTCTTCTTATCTATTTTTAACAACCCTGGTGGACAATACAATATTCTTATCAATACAACACCTGGTTGGATTTATGCAAGAAATGTACACAAGGAACCCCTGATACCTAAGTCAACAAAAAAGTGTACTTCATATTCCGATTTTTAAAATCAAAAACTGGGATGCTACAAAAAAATCTAAATAAACTATAATATGGGCTAGCAAATAGCAATATATTTAGTCGAGGAAGTTAAATACATTGTAGTAACTTAAAAAAGGAATTAAGGTAACATCCATTTATATATCCAAATAAGAAATTCAGCCTACATCCATTTATATATTCAAAAAAGGAATTCAGACAACATCCATTTATATATTCAAATAAGGAATTCAGCCAACATCCATTTATATATTCAAATAAGGAATTCAGCCAACATTCATTTATAAATTCAAATAAGGAATTCAGCCTACATCCATTTATATATTCAAATAAGGAATTCAGCCAACATCCATTTATATATTCAAATAAGGAATTCAGCCTACTTCCATTGATATATTCAAGTAAGGAATTCAGCCTACTTCCATTGATATATTCAAGTAAGGAATTCAGCCTGTATATTGTATCTATACTTTACAGCACATTCAAGCACTAACTGGATATCTTGAGAGGAATCAAATTGAAATTATGACTGATTATGTTACGGCTCGTCTTTGCATCCCAATTCTTTAGATCGATTTATCGCATTAGATCGAGACAGATATTACTTAAAAGATGGTAGGGTCGAATCATAATATGAGACAATAACACTCAATAGAGGTTATCCTTGAAATATAATACTTTTAATTTTTTGTTCACAAATAAAAAATCTTCCTGGTGCTCTTGTTTAAAAAACATTTTTTAGAACCTCTCATTAGATCGATGAAATGATAATTTAAACATGCATATATGTCTTGCGAAGAACTGTCTATAAAATATCTTGTCTTTAAAATATCCTGTCTATTAAATATCTTGTCT